CGAGGCAGGTGGATCACCTGAGGTCAGGAGTTCGAGACCAGTCTGAGCAATATGGAGAAACCCCGTCTCTATAAATAAATACATACATACATACATACATACATAAACTAAAAAATAAATAAATAAATAAATTTCATATTTTTTTTCACATACAGGATTGATTTCCAAAGACTCATGTTACATGAGGAAGCCACCAGGAAGACCAAAGAAAAGGAGCCCGGGATGCCTCTTGCTCAGGTAAAATGATAGTCCTCAGTGGATTATTGTGTCGTTTTTTTGATTCTGAAATACCAGGTATTGTGGTAGCCAGTCTTCTGTAAGTCCGAAGCATCCTGCCTAGCATGTGTGTTCACACTCACCCATGCCATTTCTCAGTGCTTCTTATCTCCACTTAAATTCCATCTCCTATAACTCAGTGATGTGAGCTTGGGAAGAGGCTGCACTGGGCATGGTCCTGGGAAGGGCTCACCCCAGACATGGATGGAGACGGGGTGTGGGCCTTGTGATGTCTGTGGTGTTGAGCAGCAGGGAATGTTCAGGGACCACATCGGGTTACACATTTAACTCTGTGGACCAGATGAGAGAAGCTCTATATGATAGTCATACATTAATGTGCACTGGTTTCTGGAGGGGAAAAGGAGATAAGTTAGGGGAGTTTTTTTTGTTTGTTTTTTTTTTGAGACAAAGTCTCACTGTCACCAGGCTGGAGTGCAGTGGCACCATCTTGGGTCACTGCAACCTCTGCCTACTGGATTCAAGCAATTCTTATGCCTCAGCCTCCCGAGTAGCTGGGATTACAGAAATGCATCACCATACCCAGCTAATTTTTGTAATTTTAGTATAGACAGGGTTTCACCATGTTGACCAGAATGGTCTCAATCTCCTGACCTCATGATCCACCTGCGTCGGCCTCCCAAGTAGCTGGGATTACAGGCACGCGCCACCATGCCCAGCTAATTTTTTGTATTTTTAGTAGAGACGGGGTTTCACCATGCTGACCAGGATGGTCTCAATCTCTTGACCTCGTGATCCACACGCCTCGGCCTCCCAAAGTGCTGGGATTACAGGCGTGAGCTACCGCGCCCGGCCCGCTTTTTATAATTTTTTAAAGTTTTCTCTTAATTCAATGAGCTTCCAACTCTTTGGGGGTGGGGGTAATGGGGTCTCACGGTGTCCCCGAGGATGGAGTGCAATGGTGTGATCTTGGTTCAGTTCAACCTCTGCTCTCAGGGCTCAGGCAATCCTCCCAGCTCAGTCTGGCAAGTAGCTGTTGATGTGTCCTCTCTAGGTTTTTGCTTGTAATGTCTTAACCTGAAGTTGCCCATAAGTGTGTATGTAGATGTGATTTGAAGTGTGTGCAGGAGTGTACTAATGGATAAACCATTATTTATTTAGGACAGAGTCTTACTCTGTTGACAGAGTGGAGTGAAGTGATGCTATATCAGCTCCTGCAACTTCCACCTCCCTAGTTCAAGTGATTCTCCTGCATCAACCTCCCGAGTAGCTGGGACTACAGCTGCATGCCACCACACCCAGCTGATTTTTGTATTTTTTGTAGAGATGGAGTCTCAACTAGTTGGCCAGGATGGTCTCAATCTTGCAATCTTGTGATCTGCTCGCCTTGACCTCCATAAGTACTGGCATTACAGACCTGAGCCACTGTGCCTGGCCAAACCCACAGTGTGTAGAAACACATGATTAACTACTTATATATATATATATTTTTTTTTTTTTTTGATGTGTGTGTGTATGCATGTATATATATACTTTTTTTTTTTTTTTAAGAGTCTCACTGTGTTGCCTAGGCCAGAGAGCAGTGGCATGATCAAAGCTTACTGCAATCTCCGCCTTCAGAGTTCAAGTGATTCCTCTTCATCAGCTTCCTAAACAGCTGGGATTACAGGGGCTTTCCCCCACCATGCCCAGCTAACTTTTAAATTTTTGATAGATACTAGGTTTTGCCAGGTTGTCTAGGTTTGTCTCAAACTCCTGACTTCAAGTGATTTACCCACCTAAGTCTCCCAGTGTGATGAGATTACAGGTGTGAACCACTATGCCGTCCCTTATTTTTATATACATATATATATGTATATTTTAGACAGTCTCACTCTGCAGCCCAAGGTGGAGTGCAGTGGTGTAATCTCAGCTGACTGTGAAATTTGCCACTGCGGTTCAAGTGAACCTCTTGTGTAGCCCTCTGAAGAAGCTGGGACAAGAAATGTATGCTACCACACCCAGTTAATTTTTTTTTGTATTTTTGGTAGAGACCGGCTTTTACCATGTTGCATTGGATTGTCTCAAACTCCTGAGCTCAGGCAATCCACCCACCTTTGCCTCTCAAAGTGCTTGGATTACAAACAGCCTCCGCATTCAGCGGAGACTTCCACAATGGCTTAGAAGATTTTAAAATTTATTATGGAAAAGTATAATAAAAAGCAACTACACAGAAAAAATGTTCAAAGATACCTACTGTGGATTTGTCAAAACACAATCTGGGATCAAATCAATACTTATTTTCTTTATTCTTATTTCATTTGAAGATGATAACTCACTCCTCCATAACGTTTTGTTGAAATGTGTTTTTCATTTTAGGGACGCTTGACTTTCAGGGATGTGGCTATAGAATTCTCTTTGGCAGAGTGGAAATGCCTAACCCATGCGCAGAGGGCTTTATACAGAGAAGTGATGTTGGAGAACTGCAAGAACCTGGAGTCTGTGGGTGAGAAAAATGTCCCTCCAGACATGAGGAATCTGCCCTTGTCTATCTTGGCTCTTCCTGGTTTGTATTCTCTGTTGCAATTTTGCCCCATATATGCTTTTGATGTACATGTCATTGTTTTCTGCAGCGAGGACCCTTCTGTCAGGCATCAGTAGCTTCTTAGGGCTCTCCTATGCAGTGGCTTTACATAAAAACAGAAATCCATGAACACGTGGACTAATGCAGTTGAACATCATCCTGCTCTAGGCAGAGATGCCCCAGGAGTCCCTGAGCAGAATTGTCTGCATGGTCCAGGATACAAGATAGAAAGCATGACACTGACTGACAAGTGTTTCCAGCTGTGTTTCTGTTTGTTTATTTGTTTTTGAAACAGAGTCTCCCTCTATTGTCCAGGCTGGTGTACACTGTCATGATCTCAGTTCATTGAGATTACAGGTGTGAGCCATCATGCCCAGCCTTTCATTCTGGTTTTTGAGGAGCATCATAGAAGCATTTCTCACTGGCACTGTGACAGTGTTCTTCACATAAACTAATGATCATCTTCTCTAAGCAGCAGTCACTATGTAGACATTGTTTGGGCTGACTGCTTCATATATATGTATTTTTTTTATTTGTTGGTTTTTTAATTTTTTAATTTTTTTTTTTTATTTATTGGTTTTTTAACCACCAAAAGATATGGGAAGTTTAACACATAAGTCTCTTGATTGAACTCTTTTTTTATTCTGACACAAAATTTTGCTCTTGTTGCCCAGGCTGGAGTGCAATGGTGAAATCTCTGCTCACTGCAACCTCCACCTTTTGGGTTTAAGCAATTCTCTTGCCTCAGCCTCCTGAGTAGCTGGAATTAACAGGAACTCACCACCACATCTGACTAATTTTTGTCTTTTTAGTAAGTGGGTGTTCATAAACTTTGAAGATCACATTTGGGAAGGTTATAATAACTCTTGTTCTTTGTGTAGTATTTATACATTTCAATATTACCTATTATTTACTATCTGTACTTAATTGGAAACCTACTGGTCTTTATATTTTTCAGATAGGTTTTTAAAATCCATGATGAAGTTCTCACCAGCAGGGCAAGGGAGTACAAGAGAAGGGATCCACACAGGGACATTGGGAAAATATACAAGTCATCACATTGGAGATTTTTGCTTCCCAGAAGTTCAGAAAGATATTCATGAGTTTGAGTTTCAGTGGCAAGAAGTCAAAGGAAATGGCCATGAAGCACTCATGACAGAACCCAAGGAGTTGACTGGTAGTACACAGCAATATGAGGAAAGGTGTGCTGGCAAGAAGCCTATTGGAGATCAGCTTGGATTAAGCTTTCATTCGCATCTGCACATATTTCAGACCGACGGAAACATTGATAATCAAGTAGAGAAGTCTGTCAATGATGATTCCTCAGTTTCAACAGCCCAAAAAATTTCTTGTATGCTCACAACCCATGTTTCTAATAAGCATGAGAATAATGTCCTCCATTCTTCATTATTCACACAAAAACAGGAAGTACACATGAGAGAAAAACCTTTCCATTGTATTAGGTGTGGCGAAGCCTTTCATAATAGTTCACTCTTAAGGAGACATGAAATAACCCATTCAGGAGAGAAACAAAACAAGTGTGATATATGTGGCAAAGTCTTTCATAAGAAGCACAACCTTGTATGCCACCATGGAGCTCATACTGGAGGGAAACCTTACAAGTGTAATGAGTGTGGCAAGACCTTTACTCAAATGTCATCCCTTACATGCCATCGTAGACTTCATACTGGAGAGAAACCTTACAAGTGTAACGAGTGCGGCAAGACCTTCAGCCGGAAGTCATCCCTGCAATCCCATCATAAAATTCACACTGGAAATAAACCTTACACATGTAACGAATGTGGCAAGGTTCTTAATAAACAAGCACTCCTTTCACATCACTGTAGATTTCATACTAGAGAGAAACCTTATAAATGTGAAGAATGTGACAAAGTTTTTATTTGTAGATCACAAGTTGAAAGACATAATAGAATTCATACTGGAGAGAAACCTTATACATGTAATGAATGTGGCAAGGGTTTTAATCAAAAGTCACAGCTTGTCTATCATCTTAGAAGTCATACTGGAGAGAAACCTTACAAGTGTAATGAGTGCGGCAGGACCTTCACTCACATGTCATCTGTTTCAGTTCATCACAGAATTCATACAGGAGAGAAACCTTACAAGTGTAATGAGTGTGGCAGGACCTTCCGTCAGTCATCATCATTTTTAGTTCATCGTAGACTTCATACTGGAGAGAAACCTTACAAGTGTAATGAGTGTAGCAAGACCTTCAGTCAGATATCATCTTTTACATACCATCGTAGTTGTCATACTGGAGAGAAACCTTACAAGTGTAATGAGTGTGGCAAGACCTTCAGTCAGTCATCCTTTGTAGTTCATCATAGAATTCATACAGGAGAGAAACCTTACAAGTGTAATGAGTGTGGCAAGACCTTCCGTCAGTCATCATCCTTTTCAGTTCATCGCAGAATTCATACAGGAGAGAAACCTTACAAGTGCAATGAGTGTGGCAGGACCTTCCGTCAGTCATCATCCTTTTTAGTTCACCGTAGACTTCATACTGGAGAAAAACCTTACAAGTGTAATGAGTGTAGCAAGACCTTCAGTCAGGTGTCATCCCTGAAATGCCATCGTAGTCTTCATACTGGAGAGAAAGCTTACAAGTGTAATGAATGTGGCAAGACCTTCAGTCATTCATCATCCCTTTTAGTTCATCGCAGAATTCATACAGGAGAGAAACCTTATAAGTGTAATGAGTGTTGCAAGACTTTCATTCAAAAGGTATCCCTTATAAGGCATCGTAGACTTCATACTGCAGAAAAACTTTAGAAATGCAATGAGTGTGGCAAGACCTTCAGTCAAATGTCATCTCTTGTAATCTATTGTAAACTTCATACTGGAGAGGAAACCTTAGAAGTGTAATGAGTGTAGCAAGATCTTCACTTATAATTCAGACCTTATAATTCATAAGGCAATTCATTCTGGAGATAAACTGACAAGTGTAATGAGTGTGGCAAGGTTTGTGATTAACAAACACAGCTTGCACAACATTAGAGAGTTCATACTCGAGAGAAACCTTGCAAATGTAATGAGTGTGGCAAAGCCTTTGGTGTGCAGTCAACACTTATCCACCATCAAGCGATCCATGGTATAGGGAAACTTAATGTAATGATTCTCACAATGTTTTCAGTAGTTACAACCATTGCAAATTATTAGAGAATCCATAATAAAGAGACATCTTACAAGTGTAATAAATGTGACAAGTTGTTCCATCATTGTTTATACCTGGCAGTTCATCAGGAAACTCATACTGGAAAGAAACCTTACCAATGTCATGATTGTGGCAAGATCTTCAGTCAAGCTCCATCTCATGCAAAACACAGGAGAATTCATACAGGAGGGAAACCTCACTAGTGTGATGATTGTGGCAAAGCCTGTACTTCATGTTAACACCACATTAGACATCAGAAAATCCACACTGGGCAGAAATCTTTTTTTTTTTTTTTTTTGGGGGGACGG